TCCTAATAAAGGGCATGGCTGGTCCTCGCCACCTGGAATTAAGGAGATACTTTGGAATAAGATAGCGTCCTTGTGAGAAGGAGTGTTGTGAATATAGAACCTTAGCACAACTATACTATCCAAAGTAGCTGGCTGGCTGTTTTGTTTTTATACGTTTCGAAGTCCTGTCATTCCTTGTAAAAAACAAAAAAACATATTTAATTGTACTTCCTTTTCTAGATTATTGATATATGCAAATAGTTGTCTTCTAATTGCAACGTGGTGGATGCAAATAGTTGTCTTCTAATTGCAACCGATCTATATGAAAACCCAGCATGTGGTATACTTCCGGATCAGCAAGCTGAAGTGGCAGTGGGCTGGCCATATTAGCCGCAGAACTGAAAACCGTTGGGGAAAATGAGTTCTTGAGTGGAGACCGCGTCTCGGCAAACGTAGTGTAGGACGCCCACAGGCCAGGTGGAGTGACGATTTGCGCAAGTTGGCTGGCAGGAGCTGGATGCGAGAAGTCCAAACTCGATCTAAGTGGCGTGCAATGGGAGAAGCCTATGTCCAGCAGTGGACTGCGATAGGCTGATGATGATTCAATGCAGGCTTAATAATGCAGTTTATACATATTTGACACACCAAACAAACTGGTCGGCCAGCCCATAAGGAGAGGCAGGCTGGCGGATCTGCTGCAGCGAAGAGAGCCCAGGGTGAGAGGGTCTCACCCTGGGCTCAAGGCTCTTTTCGAGAGGGTCGAGTCCGACAAGCCGACCACCTCTGACAACCAGTAGCTTGGAGGAGCTACGCCGCAAAGTCGGTAACCCAAAAGAGCAACTGAGGCAATTGGCGTAGTTGATTCCTTCGCTCAGGGATCCCCATGCTCCGAACAGCAGGTGCTGATGGCTGAGGCGGGAGACTCCTCGTAGCGGAGAATGAGGCTCACGAAAAGGAGATAGCCCGCCTCGTAGCAGATCTTGCCAAAGCAACAAAGGTGGCGTGAGACTCCACTTGCACGCACGCTGGTGGACACTCTTCTTTGACACAGTTGGTGTCACCCGTGTTGGATGGAGCCAGACATTGTCCGACTAATGGCGGAGATGGTGGAGCGACTGATGAGGCGCATCTCTGCAATAGAAAGCGCTCATCGTCGTCCACCCCTGGCTCCGCCACGGGCGACATACGCGGCCGCTGCTAAAGCGGGCCTAAAAGCCCAACTGGCAGCTAGGGTGGCCGGTCAGCATCCACAGTGCCTCGAAAGGCAACCCAAAATAAGAAGAAGGTAACTCGTCCCCAACGCTAGTCCCGGTTGATCCTAGACAGTATCTTTTTGAAGGGGGTTCAGCCAGCAGCAGGTAGCCGGGCGACGAAAAGAGGAAGCTGAAGGCCGCCAGAAAAGCGGCAAAAAGGCCGCCGCCAAAGCGACTGGGGCGTCGAAGAGGCTCCGTGCCGCTCGCTCTGCGGCCGTTGTTTTTAAGTAAAATTTAACAATTTTATGGTGGATGGATAGTGGAGTAAAATGGCAAATTATATACGAAAGACAGCCAGAAAAGTATTTGGGGAAACGAAAGGAAAAGGCATTATTGAAAAATATACATGGTGGTGGAGTGATCGGGTACAGAAAGTTCTAAAAGAAAAGATGTCATTAAAGGGTTCCTTCAAAGCGTGGAAAAATGAAAAGGGTATGAGAGAATGAAAGAAGTCATGAATATAAAGAGATAAGACAGAAAGATAAGAATATTAAATAGTATGAATTCGAAGAAATTGAATATGAAAGATACTAGATGTTCTATATTAGTCGTGTATTGTTAATTTAGTAAGAAGTGGTTGTATGATCTATGGTCGTCTGTCTATAATGTATAAAGAGCAACAAGAATAAAGTAATGTTGATGGGAAGCCGTGTGCAAGTTATTTTGATAATCCTAAAATATCAATAACATCTCATGCAAATATCTCATAGTGAGATAGAACATCTTGTCAGGTGTAAATAAGAACCTGAAAGAAAAAAGAAAATGGAAGGAATAAAACCTAAATCAGGACTCCGAGTTTCAGGTGTCATGCACCAACTTTGCGCGGTTTGTTCAGCAAATTTTTATCATACCTTCAAGCTGTAGACCTAATAGAGGCTTCGGATGAACGGCAGATTGTGTTATTTTTAAACTGTGCAGGCGAAGAGGCGATCGAAGTGCCCGGGGATTTTTTTTTATATATAATATCATATATAATTATATATGGAAAATGGCCTTATATAATTGTATATGAATTATATATAGTTATATATAACTATATATAGTTAAATATAAATATAATCGCGATATTAATTTTACTGGGTATTCCTGTATTAAACAAAAATTAATTTGAAAGCATATTTTATTCGATAGAGTACATGTATTGAACATCAAATTTATATATATTAGGATATTTATATAAACGCGACTTAGTAACATTAATTTTTGGCTTATTGTGATCACATTTATGATCACATTTTAATGTATCGTATTACACACATGCTTAAATATAACTTTATTTAATATATTATATATATTTATTAATATATGATATATATTTTGATTAAACTTACGTGTAACTTAGACAACTCTGTAGTTTTATAATTTTTTTACTATCACACTCGCCAGTCTACATTTTTATGCATTTATATCCTAAGAATAAATTTAAAGCATATATTTTTTTTAATGTGAACTCAATTTTTTAATTTTTTTTTTTTTTTTTTTTTTTTTTTTTTTTCATTTTTTTTTTTTTTAAGATGGTTAATGCTTTGACAGACACGAAATCTGCCATGCGTTGTTATATTTGTAAACTCACATCGAAAGACTTCAATAGATTAAAATTTTGCATATCAAAACGATCGAAACGATCCTGGCAGAAAACCTTAACCCTTAATTTGGTATTGTATGGTATTTCATCACTACATGCTTGGATAAGGTTTGCGGAGTTCATATTGCACCTAGGATATAAATGAAAAGTTGCTAAATGGCAAGCAAGAGATGCTCTTAGTCAATTTTTAATAGCAAATGAAAAGCGCCGCATACAAACAGAATTTTGGCAAAAACTTGGGTTGCATGTTGATAAACCAAGACAGGGCGGAGGTACATCTACTGATGGGAATACTTCACGAGTTATCTTTCAGCATGCAGAAGAAGTTGCTGAAATAACAAGAGTAAATTATCGGCTCATTAATCGCCTGCACGTCATTTTAAGAGTAATCTCAAGTGGTTACAATAAATGCAAATAAATTATTGCGTATTGCATTAAAACAGCTTCTTTTTTTGTGATGAATTACCCATGGTATAATATGTCAACAACACTTCACAAAATACTTATTCATGGATCAGATGTAGCAGAAAATTCTGAAGTAGCCATAGCATTAATGAGCGAAGATGCTCAAGAAAGTAGAAACAAAGATGTACGTAAGTACAGAGAGCAGTTTTCAAGAAAATTTTCGAGAAAGTTAGCCATTGAAGACACTTTCAAGAGACTTATGGTTTCTTCTGATCCTTTTATAACGGGACTGAGGAAATCAGTGGCAAAAAATCTGTTCCTATGTGCCAAGAGGTTTTAAATCTATTAGATGAACCAAATATTACTCTTGATGTGTAATAAAAATGTCAAAAAATTATTTATATGTTATTTTTACTAGTTTCCCACCCTTATATACCCGTTTCCTATAATAATCTATAATGTTCAGGTTTTGTCCGACTTTTATTGATTTTTCGCCTGTGTGCGCCGCACCGATACGAGAAGGTCAAACCGGAGTTTAAGGTAATGCAGGAACTAGGAATCTGCAGGCCGAGCAACAGCCCTTGGGCCAGCCCGCTACACGTCGTCCCCAAGAAGGACGGGCAAATCAGGACGTGTGGCGACTACAGGCGACTCAACGCGATCACCAAGCCTGATCGCTACCCTATTCCCAGACTGCAGGATTTCACTTACGGCAAGGCAGGTAAGAAAATTTACACCACGCTAGATATAAATAGGGCGTACCACGCAATCGAAATGGCTCCCGAGGATGTGGAAAAAAACGGCAATTATAACGCCATTCGGGTTATTCGAGTTTCAACGGATGATTTTTGGTCTGCAGAACGCGGCCCAAACGTTCCAAAGGTTTATGAATTCCATTTTGCAAAATATAGAATCAATCACAGACAAATTTGGCTCCAAATCCTCCCTGTTCTGCTACATAATACGACATAATTATTGCCTCCGAGACAGAAAAAGCACACAGGGAGCATTTACACAAAATTTTAGACATTTTCCAAAAATTTGACATCACAATTAATTTAAGTAAATGCAGTTTCGGTCATAAAACAGTCAAATTTTTAGGATTTGAAGTATCAAATTCAGGTCTCAAACCATTGCGAGACAGAGTGCAAGCCATAATTGATTTCCCAAAGCCAGAAAACGTCGAACAGCTTCGACGTTTCCTAGGCATGATAAATTTTTACCGTGCTCACATCGAGCAAGCGGCAAGCACTCAGAAGCATTTAAATAAATTTCTGCATAACTCTAAGAAACACGACCAGACCAAAATTCACTGGGACGATGAAGCAAACGCGGCTTTCATACAAAGCAAACAGAGCCTAAAACGCGCCGCTACCCTAACATACCCAGTACCAGGCGTACCGCTAGCGCTCATGACCGACGCGTCAAACAACGCGGCAGGCGGAGTGCTACAACAAAAGTTAAACAACGTGTTGAAACCTTTGGGTTATTTTTCAAGAGCATTCACGGAGGCGCAAAAAAAGTACAGCACGTTCGATCGCAAGTCTTAGACCCACCTTAGTACAGACTGGTGAAACGTAACATGCAATGTGTCATGCAATGAAAGAATTCACCGTACACATTGCTACAATGTGCATTTCACGCACACGCTACGAGCATTACAAGCCGCGCGCAGAGCGATCCGTGATTTGTCGGTTTTTCGAACGAGCACAAAGGGGTGTGCGCGAAGCAGCCAACGTGGACGGTCGTTTTGAAATCAACACGTGCACGCAACGAACATGGAGGACGACACTGCGTGGAGTGAGGAAAAGGGATTTTGCTTGATAGATGCGTACCGAGTTCGTGAAATTTTGTGGAACCCGCAAAATGAAAACTATTTTAAGAAAAATCTTAAGCAAGATGCGTGGTCGGAAATCGCAAAGTTGATGTCAATGACTGTAGAAAAATGCAACAGCAAAATTGTTAGTCTTCTCTCTTCATTCCGCCGCGAAAAGCTGAAAGAAAAAAATCAAAGGGGACAGGAAAAGGTAAGAATAATGATTAATGTTTGTATTATTATTGTTTATTTTTTCTTCATTTATAAAGATTAACAAACAGTAGGTAATCACATTAATTAGTGTAAAATTTTGGTAATCAAATCTATAACATTGTGAAACCAGCAACATTAACCACATAGTATCTACTTAAAGTATAATGGTAGATAAAGACATACAGGTTGTCCCGTAAATACTACGACATACTGCCACAGCTGATTTTTTTTCGCGATTTCGAAGTTGGTCCCATAGTAAAAGTTGTTCGTATTGATGAGTACTTTAACCTCTGGCAGTATGTCGTACTATTTACGGGACAGCCTGTATTGTAATGTAAGTGTATAAAAAAGACCACGAGAATGTGTAATTTTTTACTTCTGACGTAAAACGAGGGGTGTTATAAGTCTGACCCCTAAAACTGTGGGTCTGTCTGTCTGTAGCATCGTAGCGCTTAAACGGATGGACCAATTTCGATGCAAAAACGAGAAAAAGGAATTCAAACCTCATGTTTCAGCTACATTATTTATTTATCCTAAACAATTAACTTTGTATTACTCGGTTGCAGGTGCCTCGGAAACATACATAAGTCGATGGTTTGCCTATGATGCTTTGAAGTTCTTAGACGACAGGAACACACCGAGAAAGAGAAAAAATACGGTATGGATTATTCTATGAACATCTGTCTTGCCAAGAAACCTTTCCTTCTTTCGTAAAATAAGCAGCCAATTCATCTCTGATAGCATTTAGAGGTGCAGGTGATCGTCTGGGAATATTTCTTATGGGCAGTAATGATGTCATGTCGTCATTATTTCGCCTCCATGAACCTTCATTTAAAATTCCTTCTTCCTGCTGATCAACTAATCCTTGAGTTATGAACACGTTTCTAGAATGACGTTTCAAATAATTATGTAGAAGAACGATTGCCATAACCACCAATTCAGCATTATCTAATTAGAGGTAAGTGCAGCAGAAATGACATATGGGCAAGTGATCAGGCTTCCAGGAGATTTCTACTCGAGCACGCCAATCACTAATCTCGATCAGTACTCTCTTGTAGAAAACTTAAGGAAAACAATTAAAAACATTAAACCAATTCCAGCTAGGAACAGAGAGTACAGGAAAATCTTCGTCCATAAAGACCTCGACACTTGCTCACATGTTTTCATCCGTAACGACGCAGTAAAGCGACCGCTAACTCCAAACTATGATGGCCCATTTAGAATCATCCCTAGAAATAAGAAATTTTTCAAATTGCAGCTTCCAAACAGGCAAGTGGAGGTCTCAATAGATAGATTAAAACCAGCTTTCTTAATTAATTCCAGCACCCAGGACGAGGAGCGACAAACTACACCACATCCCATTCCAATCAGGCCCCCGTCACCTCAAAACGTACTTTGCCCGGCACCTCCAGTGATACGTACTACACGTAGAGGTCGAGTCATAAATAGACCAGTTAGATATTTAATCGATAATTAAGTCCCTTACAGTAATGTTAATCCATAGGCACGCTTTGTATTTCATTTCAATGTCGGCGCCCCGTGCAGGGATACTGTCAGGAGTCTAATTAAATATTGCAGAGTAGGTCCTGCACGGCGGCTACCATCGCTGTAGTTATTCTATGCATTCCCCAAATATATATTCCCCTTTAGGTTAAGAACGTAAAGTCGGGCCCTGAAACACGGGTCCCGCAACTCTAGTTAAGTATTTAGTTCTAGCAAACCCTCTCGTGGTGAGAGGAGGCCTGTACAACAATCAACAACAGTCCGAAGCAGTTAACAATTTCACTACATTTTAACAGATAAAATGGGCTGGGGCCAAAGCAAGGAAGAGAACAAGGACTCCCACGACGCTATAGCAATAGCAACAGTTAAAACTATATCGAATCAAGTTGAGAGCAAACTCAACTATGTTGGAGTCGGGCTAACGATATGCGGAGGCATATTAGTATTGATATTGTGTTATTTCATCATGGTGAAGTGTAAAAACCGTGCTAACAAGTGGTTGCAGAATGCAGTTAATAAGTTACCACCCGCTCCAAATACAGCGGCGCCTAGAGCACAAGCTCCTGTGTATTAAAGTGCAATTTTTCTATAAGATTGTTGCCCATATATCACTTTAACGGCAATGAATATACCGCTGCTCGGGTTGAAGTTGTAGACGGATCATTTAATTTGTCATTCCATAAATAGAACATGCACCACAATTTTACATTGTAACATTAAGACGTATTGTATTACTTAGGTACTTACTTAATATAAACAAGGGCGTCGCACACAGAATGACGCATCAGCGTTCTGATTACATTGTATTCATTGGGGTTCCGCTAGTAACTTTTGATTGTGAAATAGTAATTCATTCTTTCCTTCATTTTTCTCTTGTTTAACAAATGTGTTCCACATTTTCCAAAAAGGGGGGGAGTACTGTGGCGACAGCCCTACGCTATTATTTAATGTCAGCATTTTCTACTAAGCCAGGCGGAGACGCAAGGACTCGACAGTTAGTCGGTTACAAGCCTCGATACCAATCACGCGGCTATTCGCGCACCCGACTCCGCCCGCCTGGTTAAACCTTTCTGTGTGTATTTCATGTATGTGTCGTGTGATACAATAAACTTTGGTTAACTACCTAAATTGAGTATTTATTACATCCCCACTCAACACCTCAGATGGGTAGTTAAAACCTTACACTTGGTTTGGTTATGCATGACTGTATGCACATTTATAAATTCTACAAATATTGTAAATACCAATACATCAAACTACCGTAGGGTCAGGTGGGGTAAATGCATGAACGGGTCAAATGTGATACCATAACTTAAACTGTTTACACACAAAAGAAACTAGTGCTGCCATCTCTTATACGCGTAAAGTACTTCTTGCACTACACTCTAACAACTTTTTTAATCTGTTGGATTCACAGATGTAAGAATGACATTTCATTTTTCAAGTGACGTGCGTGCTGCGTGTTATACAAATTGCTATCCTAAATTTTAATCCAGAGTCATCTTCTGACAAAATGTAAGTTCATTATTTTTTTTGTATTTAAATGAGAATATTTAGTGTAAATTTATTATTCGAATAAGTATTTGAGCATATTTGATGCAATTTATGCTGATATTGCCGCTAATACATTTGCCCCGTAGAATTAAGATCTTGGGGCAAATATATAAACATACCTCGGGGTAAATGTAATCTTTTGTTCCAGATGGTGAGAAATTATGTTAAAAATAAGGATACAGGACCCAAATATACCGACGAAAAACTAAACATTGCTCTTAATGATATAATGTCTGGTGTACTCACTACTCACAAAGCTTCTGTTATTTACGGTATTCCATTTGCGACATTATATTCCCGAGTGAAAGGAACACGAGGTGCAATTAAAAAAACTAAAGGCCGCAGAACGGCACTTCGAGAACATGTTGAAAATATTTTGGCCACTTCTATAAAAACGCTTGCTAAATGGGGCTTTGGTCTTAGTCTCAAAGAAATTTTAGACTTAGTTGGTCAATTCGTTAGAGTCAATAAAATTAAAACACCGTTTAAAGATGACATACCAGGGGAAGATTAAGGTTCCTCGGTTTAAAAAGACGACATAATTTATCAATTCGAAAGCCAGAACAGTTGGAATATGCTAGAAAAAAGGCCGCCACAGACCCATTCATCATTTATGGGTATTTCAGTCTTTTGAAAAAAACTTTGGTTGAGCTAAACATAGAAAGCAAACCTCAACAGATCTGGAATTAAGACCAAAGCAGTTTAAGTCTAGATCCAACAAATTCCAGAGTTGTCGGAGAAAAGGCGAAAGCTCGTCCAGAGTTATAAGTACCTCTGGACGAGAAAATACAACATTTGTATTGGCTGCTAATGCTGCTGGTAAACGAGCGCCGCCTCTAATCATATTTAAAGCCAAAAACATATAGGATCAATGGAGGGCACCACCCGAGAAAGAATATCCCGGTACTGCATATGCGGCCTCTCCAAATGGTTGGATCGAAACAGAAACATTCACAAACTATTTTCAGAAAGTCCTTATACCTGCTTTGGGTCCTGAATGACCCGTTTTGGTCATATATGATGGTCACTCCACGCATGTTTCTCTCAAACTAGTTGAACTTGCATTGGCCAAGGAGATAACCATTATCAAATTGCCTGCACACACAAGTGACTTGTTGCAGCCATTAGACGTATCTGTTTTCAAAAGCTTTAAACAGAAATGGGACAAAACTGTAGCCTCTTTTCAGCGACAGAACATTGGACAAAGGCTTCCTAAATCGCTGTTCTCACAATTTTTAGGAGAAACTTGGCTCATAGTTAGTTAAGATGTCATCATGAGTGGTTTTAGTAAATCAGAGATATACCCATTTAATTCTGACGTTATCCCTAAGGGTAATTTTTCAAAAGAGTCTAGAGCGCTGGGAAAAACGCCAAAAAGAAACTCAAGATACTGCTCAGGATAATATAGCATTTGTAGAAGATGTTGAATATGCAGAACATAATGTCAATGCCCCGTCCCCATCAATTTCAAGTTCATCAGCTTTTGAAGAGGTCACTCCTGCAACTACCAACTTGGAAAACCAACCAGATTTTACATCACCACCATTAGATCCTAAAGAGAAAATAACTTCAGAAGTCCAAAATCAAACAGTAACATCATTAGAACAGATGATTCTTGCAACCATTCAGCAAAAACATCCGTCAAATAAACAAAAAAAACGAAAAGTTGCCTCAGGTGCAGAAGTAATTACGTCTGCTGAAATGCTTACCGAGTTAAGAAACAAAGAAACTATTAAAACAAACAAAAAACAAACAGGATTGAATAGAAAACCAAGCAAGAAAGGAAAGGGGAAGAAAGTGACTCGAAATTTTGACGAAGTAGTATAACTGATGCAGGTTCGGAAAATGAAATAACGATCGAAGATAGTAAAAAAAATAAAAACGAACGAAAAGCGCAAGAAAAAGATCCAGTGTTTAGATAGTGATAGTAGTAGTACTGATGCAGGTTTGGAAGACGAAGTAACATATGCAAATTCAGATGAAAGTATGTGGATGGAAGAAGAAAACGAGTCTAATCAGGAAAGTAATAACGAAAAAAGTATCTCTGAAATTGATAGCCCAACTGGGGAAGAAGATAAAGAAAATGAGGTGGAAGAAGCAAAATCGCAAAGTATTGATATAAAAAAATGGGTAATTGTAAAATATGCCTTAAAAAAGGGACTTAAGTATTACGTGGGTGTTGTGCAAAAAAAAGTAGGCAGTCGTTAGGAGGTAAAATTAGTACGACGTAAGGACGCAACCTTTGCATGGCCTTTAATAGAAGATACTGATGAGGTTACTGCTGATTGTATCGTCAAAATATTACCTAATCCTGAAATAACCAAGCGCGGCATAATATATTTTGATTACAAATTTTGAAATATGATTATATCCTAGTATTGATATTGATTATAGTATTGATAGTATTGATATCCCCCACATGACCCTAATAAAAAAAAAACATTTAATTTGTTATTGATATACAGGGTGTGGCGTAAATAGTGGTCCACCATTAAGGATTCGATAAACCAGATAATTTACTATAACATATGTGGCGACAGCCCTATGCTATTGTGTCGACAGCCCTAAGCTATTATGTTATGTTAGCATTTTACGTACGAAGCCAGGCGGACGCAGAGACGCGACAGGCAGTCGGTTACTAGCCACGATAGCGATCACGCATTTATACGCGCACCCGACTCCGCCCGCCTGGTTAACCCTTTTGTGTAATTCATGTATGTGTCGTGTGATACAATAAACTTTAGTTAACTGCCTAAACCGAGTATTCATTCCATCTCTAAACAACGCTTCAGTTAGGTAGTTAAAGTGGTGACCCCGACGTCTTAAACGTAACGTTTTTTTACGATATGTGTACCTCTTGTTAAAAATTTGGTTGCAGTTTTAACAAATACCATTATTTTTTCATTTTGATTACTGGTAATTACTGCTGAATACTATCGTTAAATAACATGTTTTTAATGTAAATTTAAAGCTTTTGAAGAAAAAAATTGGTTTCACTCTACTTTTAACCCAAATTTTTAACATATCATGCTAATTCAAGACCGATTTTTGTAAAAAAATCGTACTAAGCTGTCAGTGCCCATTCATTTAAAAATATGCCTACTAAATACCAATTTCAAAATGGTATCACAATAGCAGATCCTTTTGTTTAACAAAAAGATATCCAATTTTAATTAAAGAAAAGAAGATTTTCATTAAAATACATTTTAAAATTTAGTTGCGTTAATACTTATGATTTTTGTAAAAAAAGTAGCTACACTGTCAGTCCCAATCCATTTTAAAATATTTCTACTAAACACAGATTTTAAAACGATTTGCCATCCCATTAATAAAAAAAGACTTAAAATAACAATTTTTTACCACTGTTACAGAGTGATCTTGATCTAATTGAATCTAGAACAAGGCATTAAAAAAAAGCAAGTCATACTCGTCATCGTTTATTATTATTCTTTGACATGATTACAAACACTGTAAAAATTAGACCAAATGCTCGAAATGGCCCCAATTCGCAGCTATACATGCTCTGCAACGTCGAATAAACGACCGTTTAAGTCGTCGAGCAAACTCGCTCTCGCTGATTTTCCTAGCCGCTGTCTGGATTCTAGTCCTCAAGTGGTCAATAGAGGTGATTTGTTCCTTGTAGACATTTTCTTTCAGGTAACCCCAATAAAAAAGTCCAGGGGATTTAGGTCCGGCGAGCGCGGTGGCCACAATATTGGACCTAAGCGCCCTATCCACCGATTTGGATACGCTGTGTTAAGGTGCTCTCGTACTCTAACAGCATAGTGAGCGGGACAGCCATCGTTCTGTAGGGTACTTCTCTGATTTCGTGCAAATCACATATCCGTGAATTTTTTGGCGAATCTAAACATCCTAAAAGCCCACAAATATGTTTTATCTATAATTGGGGAGCCTTACTTTTAATGCCAATAAGAATTAACATTAATCATGACGAGATACTGACTCAAAATAATATTTTAGTTGGTTAAATTTCATTACCCTCAGCGTCTTTTTTGCGACGAGTAAGAAAAACATTTTTATTTAAATATACGTAGAGGTTTATGCTGCGTATTGTTACTTGAGAAACCTCAAGAACATAATAAGGAAATTAATTATGATTTTGCAAGTTATAATTTTGTTATAATTTTTCATACATTGTGATAAAAACAATTTGTCGTAAAAAATATTACATTACCTTCAGCCTATCTTGAAATATCAAACATCGTGCTTTAAATGCATCGTACCTGGATCGAGCACCCCCTCCCGCCTCCGCATTTGCCGGTCAGTCGGCCAGCAACAACAAAAGGGGCAGGACGAGCGCCTTTTTTTTCGCGACAGTTAAAAAAGTTTGACAACTAGGCGCTTCAACCAATTTTAGTTTCATTACATTCAGCGGATTTTTGACGTAAGTAGTTGTGGTTTTTTTATACTTTTCGTTTTAAGGCATTTGTTGTATGTGTGTTCATGTTTATAATTATCATCATGTACCGTTATCGATTAATTGCAGAGTAATTTGACAAATAGTTTGAAAAATTCATTACCCTCACTTTCATTACCATCGATCGATTACCATCAGCTTTGAAGGTGAGGGTAATGAGACTGAAATGACGGTAATGAATTTTTCATGTTATTCTATGAGATATTATATTCAACCCTATTAATATGTTTTTTACCCGACTGCGTAAGAAGAAGGGTTATGTTTTTCGAGCGTATGTTTGTATGTATGTAAATGTCCATTTCTTTGGCACGCTCTACAACCTAAATGGCTGGACGGTTTTTGACAAATGAGGTATCGTTGAATTTTTCAAAATTGTGGTAGTGACATAGGCTATATAAATCTTGAAAATGGTGCTCACAAATGTAAAAAGTGCAGGGGGAGGGGGAGGAATTGTTTTTTTCTTACCATAGCTACATGGGTATCAAATAAACGCTATCTATGAAATGAATGTCTCTCCACAACGCTTCATTTTAGTTTTAGTAGCGTTTTTGCTAATAGTGGCCACTTTTGTTAAAAATGGTATCTAAAACTAAAAGACAAAATTAAAAGTAGTGGACAGGCATTCAATATTAAGAAGAGGTCATTTATAAGATATTTCCTGTTCATTTTTTAAAAAATGGCCCCTATTATCACCTTATTGTAAGATTTCATAAAAGGGTTTCTAACAAATATTATCCTTTTCAGGAAACGAGTATGGCTAAAACGAAAACTAAAAAAACTGAAGAAAAGCTTGCTCAAGCAAGACTACATAAAAGGAAAAATTACGAGGTAATTAAAAACGATCCCGAGAAATATGCAATTCAGAAGGAAAAAGAGAGACAGAGATACTTGAAGCGAAAAGAACAAAATAAAATAAAATCTGTTGCTAAAATGACACCAAGGGAAAAAAGACTACAAAGAAAAAAATGAAACGAAAATAGTAGGCGTTATTTAGCGAAAAGGAAAAAGGAAAGGGTAATACAACAGATGCTGATTGATAATTCACCTCCAACAAGTGATAGAGAAGAAAATGTAGATGCTGACCAAGACCCATTAGAAGGGCCATCACACCAATGAGTTGAGGTGTCTAACATAAACTGCAAACGGTGTCAGAAAAAGGATAAGTTAATAAGAAGACTTCGTTATAGTTACAAGAAAGAGATTGGTAAACTGAAACAGGAAAAGTTATTAAAGAAAAGGATGCAATGAGAGAAATGTTGATGAGGCAAATAAATAAACAACGAAAAATACAAGCAAAACCATCGACAGGTGAGAAAGTGGATAATTTGATAAAATCAATAGACGAAGACAAACGAGAAGAAGTAAAGAAAAAAATATTATTTGGAGAAATTATATCGAACAATTTAAGAGATGGATTTAAAGTTTTAAGAAAGAAAGAAAAACGAGAGTTTAGCGATATAGTCATGAGGGACAAAGACCGTTTCAAGAAGCACAAGGTTTTAGGTAAAACGTCAAAATTTACAGTGCGAGATAAAAATAAAATATGTCACAGCAATGAATCAAACATGGATACAGAGAGTAAAATCAGACAAGACGTAGAAGAATTTTTCGAAGACGACTGCAATACTAAAATTTCCCCTGATAAAAAAGAATTTATCACACGTAATGGACAAAGAAAGCAAAAACGCTATTTATTGGACACATTAATCAACCTCCATAAAAAGTTTATGCACGTTCAAAACAGTAATATTGGATATTCTACGTTCTGTAAATATCGACCATTTCGGGTTCTCTATCCAAAAGAATCTGATCGTAATACATGTGCTTGTAAAATACACGTAAATTTTAATTTATTAGTCAAAAGTCTTAACAAGAAAAGAATCACTAAAGAGGCAAATGGAACTGCTATATTGGAAAGCTTGTGCTGTGATATACACAATGAAGAATGCTTAAATCGAACATGTGAGGTATGTCGAAACAGAGTAGTTAACTATGAAGAATTTAACAATGAAGAGCAAATAAACTATTATCAGTGGTGCGCACAAAAGGAACCTAAAATGTGAAAGGACAAGATAAAACAAAAATTGTTACCGTAAAAACTCGATTACAAGATTACCCTCGAAACGTTATCAAAAAATTGGAAGATTCTCTGAAATCATACTTTAAACATTGTACTAACATCATTGTTCAGTACAAGAGCATTAAATCTCTGAAAGCGACAATGACTACCAAGGAGGTTATGTTACACATAGATTTTTCCGAAAATTACTCTGTCAAATTTAATGAGGAGATACAAAGCTATCATTTCGGCGGTAGTCGATTGCAAATAACATTGCATACTGCGGTTGCGTATTTAATTGATCCAGAAACTGGAATCATGAAGTCATACAGCGTTTGCAGTATCAGCGAATGTAATAGACATGACGCAAGTGCTATATGGGCACATCTCATACCACTACTAGGTTATGTAAGGGAAATATCACCTCTGATAGATACAGTACATTTCGTATCTGACAGCCCTTCAAGTCAATATAGGAATCGCTACATTTTCTTCGTTATTAGTCAACTGCAACAGGATTTTCCAGAGTTAAACTTTACAACCTGGAACTATTTAGAGGCCGGACACGGCAAAGGAGCGCCAGATGGAGTTGGTGCTGTCCTGAAGAGAACCGCAGATCAAATTGTACGGTTCGGTAATGACATTGGCACAATGAAAGACTTTTGGGAGCTCATTCAAGTCAAGGTAAAGAATGTCAAACTTCTGTCTGTCTCAGAGCAAGATATTGAAGACAGAAAATTTCCCTCGTCAGTTCAAGGATTTCGTGGAACTATGTCTATGCATCAAGTGCTTTGGTCATTTGATAGGCTTCGAATAACCTTCCGAAAACTAAGTTGCTTCTTGTGTGAAAACGGTGATATATGTTCACAAAACTACCATCTTGGCTTTATGAACTTATCTTGTCTTTATGAAAATGTCGATCCTGAACATCTACAAGATTTCTTAAATGAAAACACGACGAACGAAGTCCTTCGAGAAGTGACAAATCCTCGAACACCTTCCCCTACTAATCAATTCCTGAATAGATCAGCAGCTGAAGCATCACAAAATATGAAAAATTCATTAAATAGAGCCCAAAATAATAACAAAATCACCATACTATCACACTTCCTTTATTGGCAATGAAATGAAGAAAACAGATAATACCAATTTTCAACTTGATTTTCAAAAGTTTGTTTCTGGAAAAGTCGCGGTAAAAGATCAAGAAAAAGAACAAAATAATCCCGAAAAGATCAAGAAAAAGAACAAAATAATCCCGATGATATTACAGAAAGTGACAGTGCAAGAAAAGTACTCAAAAAGGATAGAAAAGCGAAGAAAAAGTTTTTTTACCATTCAGATGATAGTAGCAGTGGAGGAAAAATAAGTGAAGAAGTCAGAATTTTAAAGAAAAAAACACGTATTACCTAATTTTTTGATGATTCTTATGATGAAAATATTTTTTAATTTACCAAATCCAAAGAATTGACATTGTTAGGAATGTAGAACTAAGAAGTTGTTTTTTTTTTTAGCATGCTTGAGACTGTTTTTTTTTAATATTTTTTTTTGTATTCGTAAGAGAGATTATCTGCCCTGTTCAGTTTAAAACGCAGTAATGTTTTTGGCGGCATGACATAACTGCAATTTAAAAATTATATAACTGTTTTTTAATATGTTTCAACATGAAACCAGAGCTTACTATAACTCTAGTGATTTTGAATCAGTATGTTAAGTACTTATAATTTTATATTTAATTCAACTCGTAGCTTCTTAAGTAAGACATGACCGATTAGATAACTTATTTAATTTGCAATGGGAGACTGAATATTTTTCTGTTATGTTTTAAATAATTAACTCTGACTGTGTAAAACTTACGAGATTTTATTTACTTCATCTTCATCCAGCATTTTTTATTCATTTATCTTAGACTTATTTCATTACCAGCAATTTTTTTTCATTACCTTAGTCCCCAATTTCATTACCAACTCCACTGTTTTCATTACCATCAGCAGTACAGAATTTCATCGGTCAATATCTACTTATGTAATGCGTATAATTTTGTATAAATCACATAAATAGTGTATGTTCTTGATACCAATTCTCGTGAAAGTTGAAAACAAGGAATCGAAAATTTTCTCACATATCTGTCAGAATTGCACTAAATCATAGAAATACCCTGTAGCCACATGTCTTCTTGGACTTCAGGAGCGACATTTTGCAGAAGCAAAGGCAAGTCAATTCGCAAAAAACTTAAATATCTATCTGCGGTTAAAGTTTCTGGCAGCTCGTGTGGACCGATTATCTGTCCATTAATGATTTCAGTCCTAAGGTTTATTTTAAATTGATACTGTGATCTGTCTTGTCTTATGAGATGCGGGTTTTCTAGCTGCCATCTATGCAGATTGTGTAGATTTAAATATCCATCCTTTTTGCAGGACGATTCGTCGCTCCACAATATTTTGTTAAAAAATTGCGGGTCTTCTCTTATTCTGCGTAGCATTTCTCTACAAAATCTTACTCTTAAGGGATAATCTCTTGGTAGTAATGACTGTACCCTTTGATAGTGGTATGGGTACAGTTAATGTCTTTTGAGTATACGATGTACAGATCTACTGGATATGCCAGTTCTGCGACTTAAGACACGGACCGATGCTGAAGGATCTTCAGTAACTAAATTCATTACCTCTTCACCAGTGTGTACTTGCGGTCGTCCTTCACTTGCACCGCCTACTCCTGTGCCAGGTATCCTCCCCTCGCTGTATGCGTTATGCACTCTTCCAAAAACTCGATGATCTGGATGTCTTCGATCGGGATATCTCTCCCGATAAAGTCGAGCTGCTTCTCTACCGACACCTCTGCATTCACCGTAAATAAAATGCATGTCAGCATATTCGCGCGGTGTGTACCGAGACGTGTCTTTTCTTTATCACTCGTATCGTGCGTTACTCAATTGGCGAGAGCTTCAACAGATCTTTTGTTTACAAACATGTCTCAGGTAAAGAAAGGGTCGGGCTTTTTTTACCTGAGACATGTTTGTGCTCTTAAAACCAGTTTTGTCAGACTAAAATCATATTTCAAAAGTAAAAAGATACATTTTATCCGTTTTATAGAATTTAATACGTTTTGTAATAATAATATTCACCCAATTAAATTTTGAAATGTATTTTAATAAAAATCTTCTTTTCTTCAATTAAAATTGGATATCTTTTTTTTTAAACAAAAGGATCTGCTATTGTGATACCATTTTGAAATTGATATTTAGTAGGCATATTTTTAAATGAATGGGCACTGACAGCATAGTACGATTTTTTTACAAAAATCGGTCTTGAATTAGCATGATATGTTAAAAATTTGGGTTAAAAGTAGAGTGAAACCAATTTTTTTCTTCAAAAGCTTTAAATTTACATTAAAAACATGTTATTTAACGATAGCTCTTGTATTCAGCAGTAATTACCAGTAATCAAAATGAAAAAATAATGGTATTTGTTAAAACTACAACCAAATGTGTAACAAGAGATACACATATCGTAAAAAAATTAAAAAAATATATATTTCCGGAACCTTTGGGTAAAAATGGATAAAATTGTAATATGTTATAGTAAATTATCTGGTTTATCGAATCCTTAATGGTGGACCACTATTTACGCCACAGCCTGTATATGACGGGCTGAGAACCATAGTGGTACAAGTATCAATAAAGATAATTTGAGAAAAAACGTTTTTTGTATATATTTTTGACATCATTTTACACAGGGATTATAATAAAATACATCATGTATCTTTAATCGAATTTAATGTTTTACATATAAAATGTAATGGAAATTACAAATATTTCCATATGAAAATTAAAATACAAAATCACTCATACCGTTATGGCATATAGACCAATATAAACTATTTACTTATATCAGTATGGCACATAACAATTACTTACTTCTTTGCTTACACTTAAACGAGCCAGCACCTTGGTTAACCGAGGGTATACGTATGGCGATGCGCCGTAGAGACCAGACCTTTCGTAAATTTAGGAAAGATCGTTGTGAGACCAATTGGACCATCTATAAAACCTCAAGAAACAGATGCAATCAAATGATACGCAACGCCAAACTCCTTAACATTTCTTCCTCATCGCCGGCCGGTATCTGGAAGTTCCTTAGGACTTTCGGTGTAGGTAAGGTTCAGCATCCAATTTCATCTGTGACTGTTGGCTTGGACGACATGAATCTTCATTTCACCACATCTGCCATAATGCCGTCCCAAACCAAAGGTCAAACTCTCGGTTATGTTACCAGGCTTGCGCGGCGGGATATCGAAGCCTTCTCGTTTTCTCCAGTTGCCTCGGACGAGATCAAAAAAACAATCCTAAAAATAACATCTAAAGCTGTGGGCTGTGACGATTTAAGCCGCTTTATGATAGTCACCGTATTGGACCAACTTCTTCCTGCAATCTCCTATAACGGGTGTCCCAAGAAGAACGCAATTTTTAAATTTTAAATAAAACACAGATATGTAAAAAAAAATCGTGAAACTTTATTATATCGTAAAGTAGACAGAATGAGGTTATGTATGGAACAATATATCGTGCAGATGGCCGCCGCGGCTTTGCTGGCATGCACGCGATCTTTTAATGAAATTTTCAATGACCGTTTTGCATGAATGATGCGGTATTTCATTAATGCAGCGTCCAATTTCCTCTTTTAAGGCTTGAGTCGTCGTCGGCTTATTCGCGTAAACCATGGACTTCAAAAAACCCCAAAGAAAAAAATCTAATGGTGTTAAATCGCACGATCTAGGCGGCCAATTCTGATCTCCAAAACGCGAAATAACACGACCGGGAAATGACTGATGCAGCAATTGAATTGTTTCTCTGGCTGTATGACATGTGGCGCCGTCTTGTTGGAACCACATGCCCTCCACATTCATTTCTTCAATTCTAGGCAAGAAAAAACTGGTTATCATTTCACGATACCGAACACCATTGACTGTTTGCGCTTGACCTGCCTCATTTTCATAAAAAAAAGGTCC